CTTAGCTCTGTGTTGTAAGCGGTAGGTAAAAGTCTGTTTTTCACCCAAAGTGTGCTGCAGGTGAAAACCTTTTAAAACATCCACACCTGTATAACAACCCGGAACTAGACGGCTTAAAAGAGCTCAATAAAAACTCATTTTATTTTGAAAGCACCCTTTTAGTATTATTAGTTTTTTTTTAAACGAATTATTCAGAAACAAACCCGATGAATTAGGTTAATGAGTACAAGAGACACGCTTCTCCTGGACATTTTGTATCATGATTAAGACAAACATGGTCAAGTTTCACTTATCACACAATTCTCTGAGTATTTTCCAGTTAACACGCGCGGAATTATCTGAAGTCAACTTTTACTTCCTGTCTGGAATTACTGTTTGTCTATCGTTGCTTGACAACATGGTGTCAAACTGACACGGGTGTAAAAAGATGCTTCTGTCTCTAGAGGACTACTCAAAGGGCAAAAAACAAACAAAAAAAAAAACCTGATTCTGTTTTAGTTGGGTGAACACAGAAGGACAACCTTCAATTTTTTTGCAAATAAAAAAAGGGGAGCTGACAGACTTTGGGGTTGTCTTATTCAGAGAAATGACAGGCTGAGGGAAAAGTACTCATGACAAAAGCTGTGTGTGTGTTTCTACATCTTCCTCTGTGGCAGCGTGTCCACTTGGTTTGTTCATCAAACACTCAGGCTGACTAAATCAGAGCCATTTATTTACAAGAATTGACTTGCCTTTTTATATCAACACAGTAAATAAACGTGAAGCGAAAATTGTGAAAATGTACAGAGGGAGGCAGGGGGAGTGCTCGGCGGGCATTAGATCATTCTCAGATAGCAATAAACAGAAATGGACTTGGAAAACAGTTCCCTTGTCTAAAATGTCTTTTATTGATTTAGAATGTTCTCTTCTAAAAAAGTCCTAAAAAATAAACTTTTTCCACAAATGACATCCTGGTTAATAATTATGTAATGTGAGTTGAAAAGCCAGTTTGGCACAACTTCCAGAATAAGTAGGAGCACCTTGCTCACACTATGACATTTTTGACCAATTAGCTATCAGTTCAGGCCAGACCGGACCTTTAGGTGGAAATCCTTAAAGATATATCAGCTTCAGCTTCAGAGTCTCAGGAAGGAGAGGGAAGCAGCGCTGCAGAAATGCATAATACACGAGAAAAAACAACACATTTGAAAGCTAATGTAAAATTCATATTTATAATATGTAGATTCAAACTGATATAGAATAGAATAGAATAAAACTTTTTTGTCCACAGTAGAGAAAAATTTCCTTTGGCTCTCAAAAACACACAAATAAAAACATTCATGCATGCATACACTCATTGTGACACCATGTACTTTGGTTGGATCTTACAGAGGTTAAGCATCATTACAGCACTAGGAACAAATTACTCTCTATATAGGTTTTTGGTTGCCAGAGGCACCCTGTAACTCCTTCCAGAGCTCAAGGGTTATGTGAGAAATATGACGAAGAGTGAACTTTACACTCTAGAAAATAAAATGTTGAATTTACTTAACTAAATTATGTCAACTGGTTCCACCAAACCTATTTGCTTAAATGTAAAGCATAACATACCTTTTGTTTTTTAAGAGCAAGTTCACCAAGAAACAGATTTTAACTTGTGGTTTTTTAAATACAATCGGCCATTCAGAGATTAACGCTAGAATATGGAACATTTTAATGAAAAGCTATATTAAAAAAATACATCCACGGGGTGTTTAGAGGGGTGCAGAATGAGTGTACAGTTTCTCATTTAAAAGCTGTATTTGAAAAATTAAATAAGCTATATTTTATTTTATCGGACACAACACAGGGTTTATGTTTACCTCTACCAGCCACTAGAGGGCCCCGTTGTGCTAAAAAGTCCGCTCAGCAAGGCAAGGCTGGGACTGTGTAAAACGACGGACTTGACAAGTCAAGCAGCTTATTCTGAGCCCAGAAAATGTTCTAATGATAAATACTGTTGTAAAATATACTTGTTAGTAGAAATTTGTTCTTATCCTGTACGATTTGTCACACAACATGGTGCTGGAACGTGTCAGCAGTGAATCCACATTCCAACAGCTGGAAAATTAGTCCTGTTGTTGCAATATCGCCTCTGAACACTAGAGCTCACCAGAGTTTTTGTTTTCCATATTCAACCTTTAACATGCAGGTTTCATGTGAAAATACTCTTCTACCCCTATTTCCTGTATTAGCTGTCGATAGAAAATAGATGGGCAAACGGTTAGGTCAGCAAAAGCCGCACAAATCCACGTCATACTGTAATTTTACATTCATGGACCCACCCATGTTAACTTATGAGCGGGGGGAGGCTGTTGTCGATGTAGCGTCCAGGAGAGAGCGGAGCAATTCTCCGCTAGTTGAAGCTAACCGTTAGCATTCGCAACTCTAGAAAATGGCCTCATTCAGGCTTGTGTTATTCGTGGGGATAAAACATCAACATCGCCGAGCAAATGGCTGCAGGGGAAGAGTTGCATTGCTTGTTAGCCAATCAAAGGCTATGATGTCAGAATAGCATGAATAAAATGACTCCAAATCCTGCTGGTTTCTGCCCCCCTCTTCCTGGTTAATTGTGACTTCCTGAAACCAGAGTGCAAGAACATTTTATTCCACAGAGAACGACTTCCGAGGCGTTCTTTTATACAGCAGATTCATTGAAATAACGAGTGAATGAGAGCTTTACCAAAACAACATCTAAGAATGTATATGACACAGTCAATAAAACTCAACATTTCATTTTTTAGAGTGTAAATTCCAAGTAACAAGTATTTGCTTTACACTTCCTGTGGTAATGGGATTGTGACAAACAAAAACAACCCTTTTTTAGTTTGATGCTTATTAATGTTGCATTATTTTAATTTTCCAACACAAAAAGAGCCCTTCTGGGCAGTTTCTTTATTGGCATACAGATGAAGCAGCTATTATCAGCATGAAACTGATATTTAATTTCTCCAGACTGCCTTTTTCTGCTGACATTTTATTGATGAAAGACGTAACTTGAAGACAAAGCTCTCCTGTCAAGAGGTTGAAAACATCATCCGTGTTAATTTGCGCTCACACAACACATTAAAGACACAACAAATGGCCGCAATGTGGCTTTGTTGTAGAATAGAGTCTGGACGTGTTATCTGGATGATAACTTTTTTCACCTATGACTTTCCTAATGTTACATTAAAGATGGTTTTTCATTAATCTCATGAAAAGAAAAAAATATACAGAAACTGTAGCAAATCAATCTTTCACAGTAATATTTGAGGTTTTCTATATTTTTGCTGTTTTGTCACATTACGCGTGATTGTGCCTTTCCCTTGTGTTTAATTATTTTCAAACACGATCGCTTTACTTATTTATAGTGGTGCTCTGAGTTCGCATTCGGTCCACCGTGCACGTCATGGAGGTCAGTAATAGTAACAATGTTAAGCCCCCTTCAGACAGGCCATGAAAAACGGAAATGTTCCGGAATCTGTCCGTAAGACCTTTCTGTCTGAATACAAACATCCGGATAATGTGTTCCGGAATTTATCCGGACGAAGCCCCTAGTAACAGGTCCGGACTTGTTACGGACAGGGTGGCTGCTTCAGACTGGTGAGGTAAAGTTCCGGACAAGAGGGAGGGGGAGGAGGAGGGGACCGGGGGATGCCGTGCGCACCTATAGCTCGCTGCTGTAGCATGCGGCGAACCACGGCAGCTCGCCTCCTACGGTACCGCCTAGACGCGCGACGGAGCGCTTCACACCGCTTCAGTGATTCCTTTAACCATTGAGCTTCATCATCCAGGTCTCTTATGCGTCTTCGTGTGCGCAGAATTATGCTTAAGCGCCTCGTGATTTTTATCTTGAGAGGCGCTATAGAAATGATGTTTTCTTCTTCTTCTTCTTCTTAACATGAGTCCAATTCTCTCTCCCCCCACCACCACCCCGCCGCCGTCAGACATCTGGAACTTTTCCCTGCTGTGTGAACGCAGCCGAAAGGACAAGTTCCGGTACAAAAGTGGTGTGTCTGAAAACACAGTTCCAGTTAAAAACCGGATTGAATTGTCCACAAATGTTCCAGAATGTCAGTCTGAAAAGGGCTTTAGTCAGGCGTCACACCTAGGGCACAGCATTCCAACCAGTGAACCCTGACCTTCTGCTCACCTCACAGACACTTTTGTCCTCTCCATCTCACCAGAAGCAGCACCGATTACCACCCTCGCTGTCATGTTGGCTTCTCATCACACGATCCATACTGTCACATGTTAACATTATTGATGAGTTTAGAGCATTGAATGGTAAAATACTGTATTTATTTTTACTTTTACTGTTACATACACACAGTCTGAAGGAATTTTCTTTGACAATTATATATATTTAAATATTTACAATTTAAATATAGTTAAATTAATGAAAGGAACAATAACACATCAAATAAATGAAATGCATGTTGAATAATTTGAAGCTGCTTTAGCAGATCTACAGAACAAGCTAAGTTTTGAACACAAACACGATCACGGAACACGGGCCCTTTCCCTCAGGTATCTATAGGGAGCCCAAGTAGTGCCCATCTACTTCCGGACTGTGGGTCCCCCAAGAACGAAATAAATGCAAATAAATTGGGCTAAATACGCTATTTTCTATTCCTGTCTGTTGTGTGCTACATTTCACATATGAATTTTAAAGACACATTTTGATGCCAAGAAAGAGCTTATTTTAAAACAAGGGAAATGTTATTTTAGGTTTGGTGTGAAAATACGTCTACGACTACAAACCACCAAATTGGCGCCATCGAACCAGACACGGAGAAAAACAGACGGCAAATGGCTGTAAGTTTTGTGAACTGAGTCCTTCCCTCAGAAGGAAAGAACTACCATAAATTTGGATATTTGGTAAGTACAAGCAACAACGGGGGGTTCTATGGTGACGTTATATATGCGACATACCCACGGACGTAGTTTTTGTGTGTGTGTGTGTGTGTGTGTGTGTGGGGGGGGGGGGGGGGGGGGGGTGTCAAATTTTGTCCCCTGCACTTTTTACCATCCAAAAACAATATCACGCTATATTAAATAAACGCAGGTTGAGCACTAGGACCAAGCAGAAAACAGTCGTGTTGAAGCCTGTTTCTCATTAGAACATACTGTAAAGCGGTATAAATGCTGCAAGTTCCGACGTGCATTCCATCCACGAGTCTCATTTCCACCTGGAATGTACATGCGTCAAACATGGTGGCAGTAGTCGGCTGTTTGTCCTTCTCTGATATTATTGAGCAAAGAATCTCTCACATCAGTGATGTTCTGTTGCTAATACATAACAATGTGTGTGTCCGAATCCACAGGCAGGATGCTTACAACTACGGGTCCTCGCCGATCTAGCAAGGCCTGTTCCTGCTAAGATCGGAACCCAGCGGCTCTGAATTCGGACAGTCTAGCCTTCACCTCTACGGTGGTCCGTAGGTCCCGTCACAGCCGTGGCGGCAGCTACACGCAAAGAAAAAATGCTAAAGCTAGCGAAAATCGAGCAGGAATATTAAAGAGCAAGTCAACCCCTACCAGAGTCTAACTCCACTCCCACTTCATGTTTGAAAAATGCAACAAATGCTGTTGCCTGGCAGACCGAGAAGGGGGAGCTGCTAACAAATACACACACACACAGGCTCATGACAGCATTGTGACATCATAATGTACCAGTTTACATCATAGCATACCTCTTAGCCAATAGCGGTGGTAGATTTAAATTAAAATACAGTGCAGAGTTTTTACCTGACAATGGCACAACACTGCCAGTTTCAGGCAGAATATTTAAATTTTAACTAAGATGCACTGAAGTGCCAAATTATTGACTACACGTGTCTGCAGCACGATTAGGCACTCGTTTATTTAGTTTCTCAGCAAAAAAAGTTTATTTGGGGGTGACTTGCTCTTTAAGGAGCTACAGCAGCTTCACGTCCATCAGTGTTTGTTCACAACCGTTTTCAGGTAAAGTAACTTTGTTTATTCTAGAAGCTTTCAGGACTTACATGTTAACTTTAGATTGTTTCATGTATGTTTTAAGCTACAGAGTGACCTGATTAAATGCACACAACACATTACTACAGAGTATTAACATGTAAACCAAATGCATTATAAGCGTTAAATGCATTAGGATGTTTTCTAATGTAAATTGGACCTTAGAACTTCTTATTTTGCATCAAATGGGGGTAAAATGCTTAAAACAAAACAGGCTTTTAAATAAAGTAGCATTGAAGTGTTGTCAATGAGCATTTGTTTATTCAACTTATGCCTAATAATGATTAGATCTGTCTTAAAAATGTAAATTCTCTGTAGTTTTTATTTAACTATTCCCTGCCGCTTTTCTTTAAACTGAACAGAACCAGTGTACTGCAGGTTTTATGTTTGTTTTACATTTTTCAATTAAATAAACTATTTTTTAATAAACCATTACACTACACAGGTCAGCATGCACTGTGCTGCACATCTGCCTCTGTGCTGAAGTTGTGGGTCTGGAGGATGAGCCTGAGGAAGATGTGTATGGAGGAGGTCAGTGGTGCTCTGTCCTGGAGGAGGCACCAGCAGACCACCACTACTGTTAACAGGCAAGTCATTTATGTAGAACCTCTATTAAAAACAACACTGTGGATTTATTTGCTGAAGAGTCACAATTGTTATACCAGTGGATCCATAAACCATCTCCTCATTTCATATGTCTGAATACCTCTTAGAGATGTAACAGCCGTCGTCTGAGCCAGCCCAGCAGTCTCTGTAGATGGACGATGGAGTGGACAGTGAGAGGAAGCGTCCCAAAGCTCTCTGCAGACTGTCCTGTATGATGTTCCTCTGACCAGAAACGTCCAGCCACGGGTCTGCTCCAGCCCTCCATCCACGTCTGGATCCTCCTGCAGCAGATCCAGCTGCACTGTTAAAGACTTCCTGCTCACTCAGTTTAAATAAATGATCCAGGAAGAGTCACTCAGGTTAATCCAGCTTTAACCGTACATAACTGGTCCATACTGGTTTTGATCTGTAAATAATTGTAACGCATTAGAAATAATCTTGTCTCCTTACTATCTTTTCATTTTCTCTTCCTGTTGAAAATCCACAGCCGGCGCGCAAAGCATGCTGGGATAGCCTTGTTCTGTGAGGATACAACAGACCTGTCCTCGAAATGTGGGCGGAGCGAGGACGCGTTTGAGGACGCGAGAATGAGTATTCTTGGAATTCGGACAGCACTCGTTGCTGTGCTGTGACATCATCAAACTCAAAATGCACTCTTACAAGAATCCTTCCCGTGGATTCGGACCGGACACATAATATGTAGTGTGTAATGAATGGAGGACCCAAGGATGTGCAGAGGTGAGGCTAGCGAGATGGACAACTGCCTGGTCCACTTGTTTTGATCCAAAACGTGTAATAGGTGGAGGTTTGTAGACAGATGTGAGAGAACCACTTTTTTCATTTTATTTTACTCTTCATAATAAATTTATAGCTATACTATGTTAGAAAGTTGTTAAGAGGCATGAAAAAATGCTTTAAGCTAATTTGTCTTCCAAATTTGCTATTGTAGCTTTAAAAGCTTGTTTTGAGCATAGTACGTTCTTGCACCATCAATTTTTTTTACCACACTTGTGAGTCTCTGGAGTATGGCTGATGTGTGTATGATCACACAATATTTTACAGACACGAACACACCCTCCCAAGGTTTCAACGTTCTCCCACTTCCCTATTTCTCCTCCCCATTCTTAGGAGGCGGAGCCTGAAGGCCGCACTGATTAGTTGCAAACTCTCACTTTCTTGAGATTCATGCAAAACATCTGCTGTTGTAGTCTTGTAGGAATCAAAGGAATAGGGAGCCTAAGTCACTTTCGCGCCATGGGTCCCCAGAAGAACGAAAAAATGAATGCAAGTCAATGGGGCTTAAAACGCTATTTTCTAATCCGCTTTGCTTTACGCCCTGGATCACACATATGTTGTACTGCAATTTAAATGAAGTGTAATGATGGGTGTTTCAACCACGCCAGTCACGCACTTTGAGCTTTATTAGCTTGTAAAAGTTTGTAATTAGGGTTAGGGTTAGTGACTACAATCCAGAAATATGTGACGTCACCACATCTCCTCTCCCCCAAGTAGCTGCTACTTACCAAATGACCAGATTTATGGTGGTTCTTTCCTCCTGTGGGAAGTTTGCTGAACTTACAGCCATTTTCTCTCAGTTTTCTCCATGACTGGTTCGATGACATCACTTTCGTGAAACGCATTTGTAGTCCTGGACTTATTTTCACACAAAACCTAAAATTGTGTTTCCCTCTGTTTGAAAATAAGCGCGTTCTTGGTACCAAAATGCATCTCTAAAATTCACGGACATCATGTGTAAAATCCATGATGGCACAAAACAAGCAGAGTTAGACAATAGTGTTTTTAGCCCCATTCACTTGCATTCATTTTTTTGTTCTTCCGGGGACCCATGATGCGGAAGTGACTTACCCCCAAATTCCACTACCTCCGCTCCGGCACGAACTCCGCAGCAAAATCGGTCCCGTTGTAGTCATTCAGAGCCATTCCACTACTGCGGCTGTGCTGCGGCAGTGCGGCGCAGTGCGCCGCCCTCTGTTCCGGCGTCCGGCAAAAATAGAATCGATCCTATTTTTGCCGGACGCCGGAGCACCTCCGTAGTCAATGGACAGGAATCACAACCGCCCAACAGGAAAGGGGGCAAGCACAACTTCCGTTATTTCACAATAAATCGATAAACAAAAAGCGTTTTTTGTTTCACATGCACAGGTTTAACAACTTTTAACAACTATCAATGGCGGCTGAACTTTAAATGCACAAAAATAAGCCATAAATACAGTTTCCACTATCAAAGTAGTCACACTTTGTTGATCCAAACACTGCTGATCTCTCAACAAAAATGATGGGCAGATTAAACAGTTCATTTCGATGCTTCTCCCACACAACGGGTGTTTGGATATAACTTCCGCGTTTATTGCTTGGACTGCATCGCAAGATCTCAAAAATCCAGCGCATGCTTGTTTGCGCACCTCAGGTCTCCGTACCGGAGCGGAGCCGTTGTAGAGCGGGTACCAGTAAAAATTGAGTTCGGAAGCGAGCGGCTGCGGAAGGCGGGGACAGAGCGGAGCGGAGGTAGTGGAATTTGGGGGTAAGGCTCCCTACACTTACAACTAAATAAAAATATGAATATTTTGAACATACAGCTGCAAAATAAGAACTACAACAACAACTAAAGAAGAAAGATAAACATTGGGTGTGTATTTAGATCGCTTTAGTTGTTTGCTTGGAGGGGGAGGAGCTTAATTATTCTTCCTGGAAACCAGCCACCAGGGGGCATGTGCTCATTTTGAGTCTTATTTTCCTGGTTCCAAATGGAACAAGATCATGGTTTTACATAAGGCATGAATGAATGAATGATATTTTTGAAGAGACCTAAACTGTTTCTTCTGAGAGATTTCAAGTTGCGTTTATTCTATATATTTCTATCTAATGGTTTTACATCCATCACAACAACTGGCCTCATTAAAATAATTGTATTAATATTTCCGTTTAGAAAATCAAAAATGGAAATCAGCTAAAGTTAAAAGGTGGTCTGTAGTAAAATATGTTCAAATGTCAAAGAAAACTCTGTTTTTCTAATAGTTTTGTTTTAATCTTTCATGATACTTTCAGTACAAATTATTGCAGATTAAAACATCGTTGTGCCCTAATGGTACTCTGAAATTATTTCAGCTGTAACGCCACACTGAAGTCGATATGCCGTCCTGTTTCCGTCACACCCAGATTAAACTAAACAACCGTGTCTTTTACCTCTGAAGAAATGTTTCATCCTGGTCATTCAATCTTTCAAATTTTTATTTTAACAACACCATTGAGCTTATCCTTCATGGCTCTGTGTGTTGACGAGAGCAGTGAGAGTTAAGACAGAACAGTAAAAAGTGGATAAAAACACTACAAAACCCTTTTAGAGTTGCAAATAGCGGAGTCTGCTGCTAAATCCATGTGTTTTTGTCACTCTGAGGAAATAAAAATCTTCATCTATAGTACTGGCTGTCATGGGAACCTAGTTAGAACATATTGATTATAGCCGTGTTAAAGTGGGCGATCGCTTTCCAAGTACTCGGCTGCATTTAACTGGGAATTCATGAAAAGATAAATCAGTAACAGAGAGAATCATTAGTTCTGGAGCTGTTTTACAAAAAACAAACAGTAAATACACCTTGTCTTCACTCACAGTATCTGATTTTGATGGTTCTAATGCAGGAAGGCAGGAAGGAAGTATCATTATTGCGTTGGCTAAGTCAATTTCCTGAGCTCTAGTTCTATCCATCTCCACGGTGAGTCGAGCGATCAATCAGCAACTCATATTACAATGTGAGACGCGTCGTGGAGTTGTCGTATGATTTTTGCAACGGTACGTTTTGGGACTGTAGAGGCTCAGGGCCCCTCTCCATGTTCTTCACTGTCTCCGAGAGCTGTTGTGGCTTCTCCTGGGATGGAGGGCCTGTCCAGAGTCAAGTTGGGGCCATCAGCCCAGACGCCGACAGCATTATGAGCCCACGAGGGATGATTCTCCAGAAAACTTGTAACACTTGTAAGTGGCTTTGGACGAAAGCGTCTGCTACATAAACATAAACATAAAACATTCACACTGATCCCACCACACTGAATAATCTCTTAATATCTCTATACATGCTGCTGGCATGTGCTTGCTGGGATTTTCAGTGACTGGTTGCATAAAACTTTGAATGCAAGTGTGGGTGATGTGTAAGTGTATGTCTGGGTTTATCCAAGAAACATCTCTCTCTCTCTCTCTCTCTCTCTCTCTCACTCTCTCTCTCTCTCTGTGTGTGTGTGTGTGTGTGTGTGTGTGTGTGTGTGTGTGTGTGTAAGAGTATATTACAGGAAAACAATGACTAATGTCTGCCCAGCCATCTTTTGTAAGATGATCTGTCCCTGAGGTGAGCAAGAGGGCACCAGATTTTCTTTGTGCACACAGAGGCTCCAGAAGTCCTGCAGCAGCACACAAACGCTTTATTACCGTGCACCTAACTACCATAGTGACACCCGCATCTGGTGCTCACTCAGGCCACCGATTTCCGGGTCAACTCGGCATCCATTACCTAACCCGCGACATCCACGGGAGATGACCTGTGTAAGCGTTCAGACAACACAAGCAGAAACTGGTAATGCAGCGTTGCTCACTCTGTGTAAACAGGGAAATAGTCTGGTGTGGAGGCAACCAGCGCTCCCGGCTGCTGATGCTGACATAGTCATGGTGATGATGTAACGAGCCCTCTCTGGTCCTGATGTTGTGATAAGAGTATGAGATCAAAGACACATTAATGAAAAACCCATTGATGATGTTCTGCATCATTTTATCCAAAGCATAACCCCCCCCCCCCTCCCTTTGAAAAGGATGTCACTCAAACATTTCCCATTGATATGGATAAGGTGACAAAAGGTGACACTTAATTTACCACTGGCATAATGGACACAGTGTCTGCTGTATGCATAATTAATCCCTGATTCTTTTCTCTAGTAATAATGGCACAACCTTGTTCCTCGCCTTGTCTTTTGAATGCTGCTCTGCAGAGTTCATGTGAGGAGTGAGACAGCGTGCAGTTAAAGCCTGACGACTCTCTGTGCAATTATCAAGCCGGCGAGTCAGGACTTTTAACGGGTTATCACCAGCCTCACATGGGAAACGAGGCGCTGGCAAGCTGTTATCCTGCTGGTATTCAGCTCTGAGGTGCACGTGGAGAGATGGACGTTAGAGCAGGATGGCAGAAGTCTGAAAATAGATCCACTGTAGCAACAAGTAATCAGAGAATATTTAGAAGGCAAGCAGACAGGGGTGAGATGTGTTGAACCACACTGGCAAAGTGAAAATCTGTTCCTCTATTTTTAACTCTGAATTTTAATGAAACATCCCTCTAGTGCCCACCAGTCCCCTCCCTTTTCCCCCTCTCTCTGAATGAATTCATTCACTTGAAACAGATTTCGATGGAGTAAGACGTGGTGTGTGTGCAGGCTGTGATCAGGGGGGCTGTGCCTGGAAGGGAGGATGAAAGAGATGTTGAACTATTTCTCTACAGATAACTTTATCATTATTTGTCAATTGTCTTGCTAAGTTGCTTGACCTGCGCACAAACTTTACTTGTTTAAACTAAAAATCTGAGTCCACATGTATAATAACAACAGGATAAGTCTGCGCAGGGATGCCCACGAACAGATATGAGTGCATTTACCGGGAGATTACCCCCGCTCCTGTGCTGAGAGCTTATTCCGTATGCAGCCCGGTCCTCTGTCCCATGACGCGAGCTCGGAACAATTGATTGATTCATTTTTTGCACTTCGTTGGTTCAGTGAGATGATGTGTGCGCTTTAGTCGCTCAAAAGTTTGCGCATATAGATGGTAAACAAATACTGGAGCGCAGCGGGAGCACTGGGAGCGCCGGCGGAACAGGACTCCCTCTGTGGTGCGTTTGCAGCGGGTGAGGCGGTGAACTGCAGGAGTTCTTCTGGCTCCTTCGTGTCAAGTTTGACGGCCTATAGAGAGGAAGAGCAGCGGTAATTGGTTTCTCAATGAAGGACCATCAGCATCTCCCCGGAGACGTGGTGGACCACAGCGTGGAGCAGCTCCATCACCGGATTTGAACCCCCCGCTTTGCGCGTTTTTTTCCTCCTTTTTGACATTAACAAGTGGGCAGTGAAAGGGACCAGAGGAACATCATCATCCTGCGCGGATCCTGATCAGCAGGGTGGTTTGTGACCAGCGTTCTTTCCTCGTAACCTGTGTTGGGGGGAGTTTATCTTTGCCCGCATCACCGAGAAGTTGAGCACAGATTTCAGCATGAGCGAGCTGGAGGGCGACTTCGCCAAGATCCTGCTGATGAAGGAGGAGAGGATACGGGACTTGGAGAGGCGGCTGGCGGACCGGGAGGACGAAATCCAGGAACTGAAGAGAAAATTGCACAAATGTCAGTCGGTTTTACCGAGCGCGCAACTTATTGGACCCCGGACCCGCAGGGCTCAGGGCATCTCCGCGGAACCGCAGACGCACCAGGACCTGTCAAGGCAGTCCTTTCGGAAATATCCCAAATCTGACTGGTAAGAGAGTTTCGGTCCATCATGAGCTTCATTATTTGCTCTTCTTTGTGTTTTTAATCAGTTTTAATCCATCAAAAGTGTGAAAATCTGATAAAAAATCAGTAAACTAACAACTTTCCCCTGTGCCCTTTTCTCATCTGTAATTATTTATGTTTATATATGTTTTACTTTTATGGCACCTTTCTCACTTAAATAAGAGCCTGGGAGCCTTGTCATGAATGGACCAGGGCTTTCATTCTCAGGGTGCATGACGCAGCTTCAGAAAGAGCTTCTAATTGATCAGACCCATCACGGGAAGTCCCGCAGGACCCAAACGGGAGGAAGTGCTGTGCATTATTGGCTTTTAGTAGCTGGACGCTTTGGACCCAAAGTGCATGTCTGAGGATATTTAATACTCCATTAGAAAACGCTCTGTGTGACCATATGCTTCCTTCATCACCTTTAGATGCTCGTTTTTGGTTCACATCTGCTTATTGAGAGTTTTATGAGCATTGAAGCTGAGGTCACGTGATTTAGCTTAAAAATTAGAGTTTATTTCAGTCAATTTATGGGGTAAAACATGAACTGATGAAGTCTCTTTTTCTGGCTTTTTCATCTCTCACACAAGAAGCATGCTCTGTTAACAGAGCCTCAGACAATTGGGTTAACTTTATTAAGGTGACTGGACAATTTCCAATCTCCATCTTAATCTGCACGCAGGATAAAGTCCTCATTGTTCTCATTAGCAGAAGAGATGCTCAGTGTACTTGCTGTTTCTCCACATTTATACAATGAATTATTATTTATAAAACAATAACATGAGCAAAACACATTTATAAAGGCACAACAGAAACTTCCTTTAGCTTATTTAGCTTTATTTTATAGATTTAATTTGTTCCTATCCAAACTTAAAATTGGCTTAGGGAATGCATGACATTTTGTGTTTGATTGATTGCTTCTTTAATGTTACAACAAATCTTAGTCAGAAATGTTGTATTATTAAAGTACTTTTACAACCATGGATGACAAGAACATGTCTAACAATGTGTGCAGCATCCCAAAAGTTTCCCAGATTTATTGGAATGTTCTAGTGGACACGACATAACAAAATAAAACAAAACACCTGGGTTTTCACTTTATAGACCAGGTTCACTGAAAAAAAAAATTTACTCGTTATTTTTGAAAGTGATTGGTTAGTCTGAGTTTAACATGCAGGCTGAACATGGAAATAGTCTCCTACACCAATCTCCGGCATTAGCTTGTGATAGAAAATAGACGGTGAAATGCTAGGATTTGAAAATCCTGACAAATCTTTGTCACACTGTCACTTAATGTTCACTCACCCAGGTTTAGCGTGCAGAAAACAACAGAGAGCTGCTCAGCTAGGAGTGAAATGTTAGCATTAGCAACTCCACCACACAGCAGAACTCCTCCAGACTTGTGTGATTTGTGGAGATGAATCATAAGCGTTGCAGAGCAAGCAGATTCAGTGGTAGAGCCATGTTGCTGTTAGCCAGTCAGAGGCGAGATGTGCAAATATCATCTCACAAGGCTCAGAATCCTGTTGTCTGAAGCTACTTTCTCCTCCAGCTGAATTCTACGTCCTCAAACAGGTGCACCGGAGCTTTTTCTCCCCAGAGAATGACTTTTAAGGCATTCATTCCTACTAGAGACCACTGCAAATGCGTTACGACTATGAGTAAAGATGTCTTTGTCTGGGGTCTCAGCAGCATATGGTGGATCCATGCACAACAACTTGGCTCCTCAACCTGATCATCTGTCTGGTCACATTTTTTCATCTTATTCCTCAAACAGGAGTTGCTGAAGGTGAACCAGCATGGTAGTGTTGGTGGGGAATCCTGGTCCCTCATGGAGGGCTGCTACCCTACATGTTTTAGTTGTTTCCCTGCTTCTACACACCTGATTTTAACCAGCAGGTGATAAACAGGCT